AGCCCTGGGAGGAAGAGGAATATGAAATAGGCTGAAAAAACCAAAATCTCAGTCATCTCTCCCCTTCCCAGGAGTCCAGCTGACTGTCCCATACCTTACAAAAAGTCTTTCCACCACCTGAGCTGGAAATGGCCCTTCCTAACCTGGTGGGATGGAGCAGGAGGGAGCCCAAGGGTGATCCCCAAGGAGCAGGCATTGTTCATCCCAATGCTGCCAAAGGAAAATGTCTGTGCACCCAGCTGGCCCCCAAACATACCCAAATCCAAAAACTAATCCCAAAAACTCCTCCTGAATGCAGCTAAACCCCATGACAACAGCAGTGCTTGCTTGGTGGGCATCAGGGGTGGGCAGGAGAGAGCAGGAGGAGCCCACTTGAGGAACAAATGCATGGAGATGGTGCAGGACTCTCAGAGCTTTCACCAGCAGCATCTGCAGAGAGGTTTTGGGGAGTTACCAACAGCCACAAGAAGCCTTCACAGCCAAGTCACTCCTCAGACAATGGCTTGGGACCCAAACATCCACTTCTGGTAGCAAAGTGTTGGGAAAATATTGCCCAGCTCTTCACACAAGGCCTTTTGTTGGCCAGTCAGCTCTGAAAACATTTCTGTTCTCCCCCAAGTGACAGCGCTGCCATGAAAAACAGGAAGAGACTGAATGCAGCAATTTAAACAGTCAAACCCCATTTCCTGCCAAAAGGGAAGGAAAATACCAGCAAAAGGCAGAAGCCAGGCAGGAGTTGGGGACTGACATTCTGATTATCTTGGGCAGATATTGGTGGAAGCTGCAGTGGTGGAGGCGACAGCTTTGCATGGCAGGGACTGGAGTCTCTTAGGCTGGGAGGTGGATGAGGAGGAGGATGAGGATGAGGAGGAGGCCAGGATCTGCCAGCAGAGCAGCCCTGGGATGTGAGCAGCTCCTGAGCTGACAGCCAGGGTCACACACCAGCAGCACCCCTGGTTTGGGGCTTCATTGCCAGCCAAAGTTCCAGCAGGATCCCTGCTCCTCTCCTCTCCCCACAGCCCTGACACCCTCAGGCTGCTTTGGGGTCAGTCTCCAGCACCCTCCTCTTCTTCATCCACTTTTTGTCTCATAGCTTTCACCTGCCTGGTCCCCAAGGTAGAGGGAAAGGCTCCCCTGCCTCCTCTGCTGAGCATTCCAGGAGTGGAACTCTCACCAGGCTTCAAAATGCACCCAATAATCTTATTTCATTGTGATGGCAATCAACAAATCCCCCCAATGATCAAGTCCTGGACAGAAATAACACTTTTACATCTCCATTCTCCTCTCAAACTGCCTTTTATTTTCTCCCCCTTTTATTTTTTAAGAAATCCAGCATTCCACAACACTGTCACAGAACCCCAGAATGGTTGGAAGGGACCTTAAAAGTTCACCCAGTCCAGCCTCCTGCCATGGGCAGGGATAACTTCAACCAGGTCAGGCTGCTCCATTACAAAGTTTATGAAGGACATTGAAACCACAGCCTTCTTTACCCAACATGAAGCTGCTTTTCTGTTTTAAGAAGCCTTTTTTTTCCCCTCCAGAGCAGCCCTGCCTCTGCCAACACCCTGCACGTCCACAGGGTTTGAAGGTGCCCTCTGACTGCATAAGCAGGAAGGGCTTCAGCATCCAGAGAGGAGATTTAGATTCCACATGAGGGAAAGCTTCCTCACAGCACAGACAGATTTTAGGGAGAGAGAGGAATCTCCATAGCCAGAGGTTAAGAACAGGTGAGACAAACATCTGTCAGAAGCGTTATAAGTAGGGCAGAAGGGCAAATCAGATGACCTCAGAGGAATCCTTTTTTTCCCAGCCTCGTTTTTCTCTGATTATATGAATTTCTAAGTATTTGGGGTCAAGTGTACTGCTTAAATATAAGCTATCATCCTGCTTTTGCAGAGAGGTATTACCTGAGACCATTCATCACCTGAGTGAACATCACCAATTTGCAAATCAACTGCCCAGACATAAAAATCTGTCATTTTTTTTTCGATTTATGCTGAAGATGAATGGGAGGACAGCTGTAACACAGGGATGGGAGAAGAAAGAATACTGAGGATTCTCCATTCATCTCTGGACTTTCACCTTTCCCACCCTAGAAATTCTGCTACCACCCTGCTGCCATCTACAACAGGCACTTGGGGGCAACCACAGGCTCATCACAGAATTTTTTTTGGTTTTTGTCTTTGCCTTGGCCTTTGCAAACCAGACTGGAACAAGCCTTCAGGACATCCAACCCTGCAGGACATCTGGGGACTCGATGCCTCCTGCTGAATTGTGACCATGAGACAAAGTTTGTCCAGCCAAGGTCTTTCCTGACCTCAGCTCTCTCAGCTCCAGATGTAAGCAAGCTGCCTGACCAGAGGAGCTACAGAATCTGCTGCTGGGGACCAGAGCATTGTTCCCCCACATCCCTGGAATTATTTGTGTGCAGAGTTGTGCTGGGAATAGTCCCCAGGAGGTTTCTCTAGCCCTGAAATAGCCTTGAGCAGGGATTACACCAAGGCAGGACCAGAAGTATCCAGGCATGTGGATCCCCCTTGAGTCAGTTATTGCCCTGTTAGAAATATTAGAAAAATTAGAAGAACATTCCTTGCTAAAACAAACTGGGGCCTTGATAGGCAAGGACAGAGCAGTGAAACCAGCTCCTCAGTCCTACAAAGAATCACAGAATGGCTTGGGTTGAAAAGAATCTTAAAGATCATCCAGTTCCACCTCTGCCATGGCAGGGACACCTTCCACTATCTCAGGTTGCTCCAAGCCCTTGGACACTTCTAGGGATCCAGGGACAGCCACAGCTTCTCTGGGCAAGCTGTTCCAATGCCTCAGTACCGTCTGTGTAAAGAATTTCTCCCTAACACCTAATCCAAATCTCTCCTCTGTCCCTTTGGAATGCTCAGTGCCCAGCAGGACCTGTTCTCATCCAGGATTTCAGCTGCCAGAGGCAGGGCAGCAAAGCTGAAATTCAGTTCCAGCTTGGACCATAGGTAGGCTAAGGCTCTGTTTTCACCACCAGATAAACATTTGACATCCCCACAAACACAGGGAAAGTCTCACTGATGGCTCTGTGATTGCTTTTAGAGCTGCCTCTAACACATGTGTGAGTGGCAGAGCAGCAGAGCTGGGGCTTGGCTGGCAAGCAGGACACCAGCAGAGGAGACCAGGCTCTCACAGACACACATCCAGCCTCCAAAACACTTCACCAACCATCAAATATTTTCCAAGCTTAGCAGCTGGACTCTGCAGCCCCTTTCAGCAGCCAAGTCACTAATACCCCTTCCCTCAGGCAGCACAGCTGATCTCAGGCAGGGCTTGCCAGCAGCTCTAAGCAGGCTCATTTAAGGGGAGTTCAGCCTACTTAGTTACACACTTCAGACTTGCTGCTTTTAATTCAAGCATCTCCAGGTCCTTTTGCAGTGCCTCTGATTCACAGTGAAGATGTACACTCATAAATATGCTCCAACACTTTTCCCCACCGTGTCCTCTCTCCAAGCTCTGCGCTCCTGTCCCTGCTCAGTCTGACACCAGTTTTCTTGGTTTGGGACTCACCCCATGGGACACAAGAAAGCTGCTGGCTTTTTTTTGCTCCTGTCTAAAGCCACAGAAAGCAGGAGTGAGTGGTTTCAAGCCTCCTAATTGGAGAGGTCCAGCACTGCAAACGTTAGTGTGGAGCACAAGCAGAGCAAATATGCAAATGCACGGAGAGGCTTAAGAGCCCAGGAAAGAAACTCCAGTGGGAAGCTCCCAGCTTAAATCTAAAGGCAGCTCTTTGAATGTGCACAGGCCTTGAGGCTAAACAAAAAAATCAAAGCCAGATTTGGGCACAGCCTTTCTCCCTGTGCAATGCTCCACAGGGAGATTTGAGGGTCTAGGCAGAGGAGATCCCAACTGAAATCAAGGATTTGTCCCTTTGGTGTGGGAGAATGAGGGCAGGGCAAGGTCAAGCAAGGACACTGAGGGGTGTAAAGGGGAATTAGGGCAGAGTAAGGCAGGATCAGTGTCCTTGCAATGAGACTGCCATCCACATTCCTCATGGCCCATCCTTGGAGCATCAGGAGAATCCCCCAGCAAACAAGGCTGGAGCACCAAGGAGCAATCCCATATCCCATATCCCATATCCCATTGCCTGCCTGGAGATTTTGGGGCAGGAAAGCACTCTGGCTTTTCTCCCTATTCCCTTTGCTCAGACTGGAACTGGCCTCTCACTTGAAAGAGCTCATTAAGGGTGGGAATCAAAGCCTGGGGAGAGGCTCCTGCAGCCCTGGGCTGCAATGCCCCTGTCTGTGCCTGCCATCAAAGCCAGCCCTGTGCACATTCCTGCAGTGGCACTCAGAATAAACCGAGGCAATTTCTTCAGACCATTTGTAGGTCAGACAGACCAGCCTCTTCCCCAATCCTGCTCTTAAATCTTGCAGTGTTTAATCCTTGATCTGCAGCCAGGCCTTAATTTCTCAGTGCAGAGCTGGCTGGAGACCGGAAGGCGAGGGGCTTTGATGGTTAATGGCCAGTGCTTCTCAGCCCTGGAAGAAATGAAGCCCTGGCTTCATAAAGTTCCCTGAATAAATCCTGCCCCAGCTACAGCCCAGGGAAGCAAAATGACACCAGCATGCACAGAAACTGGCACAAGCTGTGACATCTCTAGGTCTTGTTTTGGTTTGGGTTTGAGTCGAGAGTGCACCTGGCTCTAAGTGATTTCACCCTTGAAGTAACTACAACAGGTATGTCCCTCCCAAATATTCCAGGCCCCCTTAGTTCAGCAAACACAGCATGTCTGCTTGTTCTGATACCTTCACCAGCTTGTCCATGAGCTAACTGGGGCATGAGCTGGTTAAATCGGGTGGTGTGGTGAGCTGGAGGCAGAGCCAGCACTGGGACAAAGCAGTCTCAGTTCCTTGGCCTCTGCTTTAAGGTTGGTTATTTGAAGACAAGACCGTTGGTTATTTGAAGACAAGACCTGTTGATAGTTGAGGAGGGCAAGGTGGGGTGCTCAGGGCTCCACTTACCGCGCTGCTACAGGGAATGTCCTTGACCTTGAGCCAGGCCAGATCTAACGTCCCCTCTCCCCTGTAGCAGGACTGCAGCCTGTCCTTGATGCGGTCGTTGATGTTCTTCAGGACAAAGATGCAAAGAGCAGACTCATCCAAGGACTTCATCTTCCTTTTCTGCCCCTTGGAGAAGACTGTGAAGAGGATATCATCCTCAGGGCCAACTCCCAGAGACCTGGCCAGGATGGCTCCAGCCTTGGACAAGTAGGCAGCCTGCAGCAATCGATATTCCACCCCGTTCTTCTCACAGCCAATGGGCACCTCCACGTAGGAGTTAAAGGCCGTGTCCTCCTTACAAAGCCTCACCAGCTTGGAGGTATAAACCTGCTCCTTCGTGGTGGAGCCGGGTGGGGAGATCATCTCAGGCTGCAGAGTCAGGAAGTAGACAAAGTTCCCACTGCTGAAGCCGTAGATGTAGTAGATATCAAAGTCGGGGATGATGGTAAAGGTGTCTGAGGGGATCTTGATCATGGAGGCCACAAACTCGTCGTGAAAGACATATGCAAACATCCCATCAGCCTCAGAGTTCTTGGTGAGCTTCCTGCTGGAGATGGTGGGGAAATACTCCGGCTTGCCATCCACGGCTGTGGCGATGAACAGCTTGTCGTCCATGTTGCTGTAAGAAACAATGACTCCAAAAACAGAGCCACTCTCGTTCACCCCAGAGAGGTAATGCTCCTTCTTGTGGAAGGGCTCTCCCAGCTTGAAGAGGTCATCCAGCCTCAGGAGCTTGCAGATGCCTTGGTACAGACTCCCACAGGCTATCAACCGATTCTCCTTGTAGTCTATGAGGAGCATTTTGTTTATGTTGTTGGTGGGCGTCAAGGGTTCATTGCAGGTTTGGACTATCCTGGGAGGATAACACTTGGGATTGTCATCATCAGGACCAGTCTCATGGGTCACCAGGACCTTCAGGTCACTGGAGAGTTTGTAGATCCTGTTGACAGCCCCCAAGTAAATGTGCCCAGTCCTTTCGTCCACCACCAAGTGGTTGAAGTTTCCCTCTGCTTGCTCTCCAGTGAAGGTGATGAAGGGCCTCTTTGGATGGGGTGGCTGCTGTCTGCCCAGAGGTGACACTGTGGTGGACAGCAGGAGGTGAGAAACCAGGCAAGTCCATTTCCACATGGCCGGCGACATGATTAGAGAGGTTTGTATTCCCAAGGCAACAAGGATTAGAAGCTGTAAAACTCTTCAAAACGCCAATTCCCTGGCAGATTCTGTCCTACAAGCAGAGAAAAAAGAAAACAAAAGTACATTACTATGGAGTATTCCTTCCTCCTCCCTCCTTCACAACCATGCCATCATCAGAGCGTATTTAATTGCTAATCCTCCCTTTCTCCACTCTGAGCTCTCTACTTAAAACCAGCACAAAGGGAACCCTCCTGACAGAAAAGATGCTGGGAGAAAAAGCAGAAATCACACAGCAGAGTAATAAATCAGCACCCTTTCCCTCTCCATTACACACCCACGTGCCCCACGGTGCAGCATAAATATTGACTGCAAGTGCAAAAGGGTAATGGTAAAAACATCACCCAGCATTGCTGCCTGCACTGCCAGCACCAGCCCAGCTGTGGATTTGCTATCTGAGACACCAGAACTGGAGAAGGATTATTATCCTGCTCTTCTGGACGAGGCACTGAAGCCTGGAGAAGGTCAGGGATCTGCCTACAGGAATGGGGCCAGATGGATGCTGAGCTCTCCCGCAGCCCTTGAAGTTTGCCAGGAAGGAGCCAGCTCTGGTGTGACATTAACATCCTTTCAGGGAGATCCCAGCCCAGAACAGCTCTGTTTGGGCAGGAGCTCTGTGAATCCAGATCAAAGCTGCCTCACAGCAGCCCAGCCTGCAGTACAGACCCAGGGGTTGTGGTGTGCCAGCTGTCACTGCCACATCTGCAAAGGGCTGGGACCAAAAGGGGCGCTGGGTGTCCTCTCTGCCCTGGGCTCTCACCACAGACCACTCTCCACCCACTTCACAGCCAAGAGAACATCATCTAAAAGAGATTCCAGCTCTCCTGGGGATCTCAGCTGACTGAGGAGAAAGGGGTTGTTTATCTACCAGCAGTGAAAAAGCCTAAAGCACCATGAAGTAGGAAAAACAACAACCCAAGAACCAGCCTGGTACCTTTCCAAAGAGAGGGAAGAGGCTTTCCTTGCACAACTCAGTCCCTTAAAGTCTCCCAGGTTTTGATCATGGTGATGGGAGCAGTGTGGCGTTCAAACATTTAGTGGGCACATCACCAAGCCCTATGGAAACACCTCTTCCTACTCAGCACATCCATCTGCTCCTTTTTCCTTCACTTTTTTGGTTGCTTCTGTACTAAGAGCAGCTTTACCCCTTCATGGCCCCACAGAGCATGTAGGACATGGAGTTCTACCAGCTCAGGCCTTACAAGCCAAACTCCTCACTGAGTGCTGACCACACAAACCTGGTGGCCAGGCCCTTCACCCCCCTGTCATACAGATCAGAACTTCACAAAGCTGCTCTTGATTTTAGAAAGGACACAAGCCAAACACAGCTCCACTCCTGCAGTGTCCCAGCCCCTCTGTCACAGAGTGACTTTGCTGAAATCAGGGGTGTCATCAGTGGTGACAGCCAGGCTGGCACAAGTAGGAGGCAAGGAAAAAATCCCTGCTTGCAGATCCCAGCAGGGAGGAAGATGTGACAGTGACACAGGCCTGGATGTGCAGCTTTTTCAGATCTGTGCAGCTCTGCTAACACCAGTGGAACTGAAAAATTTACTTCAAAAATAATAGGGAGAATAAATCCCACATTCTTTTGACCCATAGGCTGATTAGATCTTGTCACCATGATATTTTCTGAAAAATGCTTTTGCCAGGATTTTTCTCCTGAGAAGCTGAGAAGCCTCAGAAAGGAAATGTAAACAATAATTATCTGATTGCTTGGAATGTGGTCTGGATGTTGTTTACCAACAGGTGCATCTTTGATTGGTTCCGTGTGGATTGTTTTTAATTAATGACCAATCACTATCAGCTATGTCTGACTGAGTAGTCAGTCACAAGCTTTCATTATCATTGTTGTTTAGCCTTCTGATGTATCATTTCTCTTTCTTTAGTATAGTTTTAGTATAGCATTTCTTTTAATATAATGTCATAAAATAATAAATCAGCCTTCTGAGAACATGGAGTCAAATTCTCATCTCTCACCTCATCCTGGGAACCTCACAACACCCCAAGATCTGATAGTGGAAAGGATAAGTCTGGGCTTGTAGAGCAGCCAACACTTTTATGCCACCCCAAATATTTCAAAATTCTCTCACAGCAGCCAGAATTCCCAGTCTGTTGTAGCATCACCTTCACCTCCTGCTGCCCTCCCTGCTGCAGCAGCCGCAGGCATTGCATGGATGATGGACAAAGGTCAGCCCACATTTACTTTAGTCATGTTTACCCTGTTCTGCTTTGCCTCTCTGGTCAAGCAAATATTTAATAAAACCAAGCTTATAGTGCAGAGTTTGCAGGACTGGCTCTGCAGGGATAGGCAGGCTGGTCACGTAGGCTGTTAATAACCTTTATAATGATGGATAGAGCAGTGGTGGGATGAGCTCCCCCCACACAACCATTCCTCTTTCAAAAGGACCCATCCTTGAGGGAGCAGCAGAAGAGGGAAGCTGTCCCTGTTTGAGCCCTGTGTTCAGAAGCATCACGTGGTGACCCTGAACACCAGCTCCCGTCACTGATGAGTTATGATCCACCTTTCTAACAGGCACTGGTTTGATCAGGAGCTAGGCAGATCTAGGGAGAAATTATTCTTTTCAAGTACTAAAAAGGTATCTGTTTTACCCCTCTATTTTACTGTATTTTGCTCTGCAGAGTCAGCAGAGCTGCAGGGAAATGGGAACTGCTGCAATCCCAAGAATGATAGTGAGCAGCCCCTCTGCCCAAAATTCATCACAGCACCTGCAAAAATGGGATAAAATCTGCCCATTCAAACAAACAGCCAACACAAAATGAGAAGAGACAGGCTCCAAGCATAAATTCTTCGAGACTCATGCAGGTGAGAATTGATTTGAGGTCAGGCTATCACTCACAGGAGAAAGGAATGGTGAGGAGAACCTTGCTAGATCCCTTCCAACCCAAACCATTCTGTGATCCCTCCAGGAAAAGACAGCAAATTTCATCTGGAGACCAGAGAGACTCCAGTGAGAAACTCCAGGAAGGAGTTTCTGTATTTTGCTCTGTTTTACTGTATTTTGCTCTGCAGAGTCAGCAGAGCTGCAGGGCAGGGAAGTGGGAACTGCTGCAATCCCAAGGCTGATACTGAGCAGCCCCTCCGCCCAAAATTCATCACAGCACCTGCAAAAAATGGGATAAAATCTGCCCATTCAAACAAACAGCCAACAAAAAATGGGAAGAGACAGGCTCCAGACATAAATTCATTGAGGCCGATGCAGGTGAGAATTGATTTGAGGTCAGGCTATCACTCACAGGAGAAAGGAATGGTGAGGAGAACCTTGCTAGATCCCTTCCAACCCAAACCATTCTGTGATCCCTCCAGGAAAAGACAGCAAATTTCATCTGGAGACCAGAGAGACTCCAGTGAGAAACTGCAGGAAGGCTTTACAGCAGGCAAGGATGCTTTCCAAATCACTGAACCTCATGGGGGGGGGAAGTTCACCTGCAGAGGAAAGAGCATCAGCAGTCTGAGAGCACCAGGAGCAGCTTTTTGGGACAAAGCAGGGAGAGCCTGGGGCTGTTTTGCCATCTTCCAGCAGCCATCTGAGTGACCCTAGGAGCAGGATTTTCTCTCTGCTTGCTGCTGGCACTCTCTCCTCTCCCATCTGCTCCTGCTGTACCCTCTGTCCTGGAGCCCCAATCAGTCCTGGAGCCTCATAATTTATAATTTGGCTTAATTAATAAATACCAGCAGAGGTCAGGGGCAAGAAGGCCTGGATGTTTAGCCTGCAGAATAGAGCAGGGTTTGTACAAGCCCTCAGAGGATGCACCAAGGAGAAGAGGGTTGTGGATGGGTTTTTTTCCCTGTGTCTGGATGGCAGGAATCACAGCAGCTGGGCAGGCAATAATCACTGCCATGGACATGCAGAGACTACAAGAGAGTAATTATATCCTAAAAACAAAGCAAATAAACAAAAGGCCACAGCCAGCAAGGGCTGCACTTGGGCTCTGAGCTGGCTGTTTCCAAAATAAACCCAAAGTGCCTTTTCCACTGGGGTTATGGCCAGCAGGGATGCCATGAGCCACCACAGGGCTCCTGTGTGAGGCCAGGTCATCCCTTGACGTGGCTCCTGCCACATCACCTCTCCATCAGCACATCCAAGGTCCCTGGAAAGGTCACAGAGCAAATCCAGCTGTTTCAGCCAGCTGTTTCAGAGGTTTCACACCACTGTCCTGCCCGTGGAATCACAGCATTATGGCTTGCAAACAACACATTGCCCAGAAGATGCCTTGAACTCCCAGAGTTTGGTTTAAGTACTGATTTCCCCCTGGAAAACAGCAAGTTATGGTGCTACCCCACAGCCTGGTTACTTTTTCTTTTTGCTGTTATTGAGCATTTCCAGCAAAGGTTTGAGACCACTGAGTTAAAGGTTGCAGTTAAGATCTGCTTAGCCATCTCCAGGACACAATCCCAAGACTCCAGAACATGAAACTGTGGTAAATACATGGGATTCTGGGCAAAAACAGCTTGGATGTGAAAGAGTCTCAGAGGAAGAAACACTCCAAATGGCTTTTAACTCTGATTATTAGATGGGAAATTTAGGGAATGATGAATACATCCTCAAAATGCAGCAGCGTGCAAGGGGACAAAGTCAAGGATGAGTTATGCCTGAGGAAGTAGGAATAAATCAGGAATAAAGAGGACACAAAGGACTGATCTGTCAGCTGAGAGAGAGGGGAGGACTCAAGAGGAAGTGTACAGGGAGAGAGGAAAGAAAGAGCTGGGTTTTGATTGACAATCTCACAAAATCCATGGTCATGTCCCTAAACTGGAGTCTGGGACAAATCCACCCCACTCCAGTGACAGCTCCTGAAAGGAACACATCACTGGGTGAGCATAAGAGTATTTTATCACCAAAGGGGTATCAGGGACAGCCAAAGGTGATACAGAGACTCCATCCTCAGAGGGTATGAAAAGACACATTATTAGAAATCGACAGTTCTTA